AGAACTCCGCTGACTAACATCCATGCCTCAGAAGATGACCTCTGGAAGCTGGCACTTTGGTGGGAGCTTCTCTGTAGCCCTGTGTGGCCCTGAACCAGAGCCCCTGGAGCATGAGAAGGGAAGCCCGCTCCCCCCCAGTAACATCGCAGAGCGGGGGGGGGGGCGGGAGGAGCACTGCTGTGACATGTGCGGAGTGGCAGGATGTGAGCCTGCCTGAATCACGGGGTTTGTCAATGGAATTTGTCAGCCTGCTCCAGTCCTTGTCCCTGAGCTGCCCCAGTTGTCACCTCAGTCCCTGGAACTGCCTTCAAACACAGCTGCTGTGAGTGCTGCCCATGGTCATCCAGCTCCATGGCCTCCAGGGCAGGTCTCTGGGGGCCCCTGGGCTCAGGGTGGAGTGCTCCCAAAGGTGTGGTTTCAGGGATTAGGAGAGCCCCTGAGGATGGGGTGGTGAGGGACTGTTGTCTCCCAGACAAGGACAGTCCCCAAAAAAGGTCTCTTGGAGGTGGGAGGGGAAATGGGTGCTGGAGAGGCGTGATTGAAGTGGGCATAGGTGCTGGAGAGGCTTGATTGAGATGGACACAGGTGGAGTGAGCACAGGTGCTGGTGAAGCATAAGGAAGTTGCTGTAGAGGCCACATCTGGTTCGTGGAGGGTCACTTCCCCAAGTCCCTGTCCTCCTGGGTCCCCTTGGGCCTGGCACATCCAGGGACTCTGATGGTCAGTGTGCTCCTTGATGCTGAAGCTCCCACAGGGACCCTACAACAGGGAGGAATCTGTTGTAGACAGTCTGTGCAGTTCGAGGGGAAACTCCTTAGAGACTTTGGTGCCAACGACACACAGTCACGGTGAAGCTCTTGGAGTACAGTTTCCCCACTGTCCTCCATTAGGCCTGGTGCTCACTCTTTCCTCCTTATCCACTCATTCTGTCAGCTCCCAAGAGGCCAGCAGACATCATGCAGTCTGTCCTCCAGGATTGTCTAGGCTGGGGCCAGAGGCAGACATATGGGCAGTGACGCTGGCAGGTGATGAGTGGGACCTTGGAAGTTCCTTCTGTCTGCTGAAGGTCCTGATGGGGGAGGCTATGAGGCAGTTAAGAGAACTCCATGAGTTCAGAGATCTCCCCATTTGACCACTTCTGGCTTGAAACCACCAGTTGCTGGGGTTTCCTGGGCTCCTTGATTTCTCTATGAGGTCAGCTCCTTCCAGTGTCAGTCCAGGCTTATGAGGCCAGAACAGCCAAGGTAGCAGCCACTGTCACTATCTTCTCCTGAAGTGATGAGCCTAGGAGCTTGCCTCTCCACATTAGCCTGCTTAGAAGGCAACCTCCGCCCCCAATTCCACTCTCTCAGCTGAGCATGGCCAGAGAGGTGAGACTGGAAAGTGTGCAGACACGGCTGTCTTTTTGAAGAATCTTGCTTTTCCAGCATCCACTGTCAAAGTGCTTGTCTCTTCACTGTGAGGAGGTGTGAAGGGCCTGGCAGCTGCCCCTGCCTCCTCTTGGCAGGACACTCCAAGCCCGTCCCTAAGGAGGGGGGCTGTCAAAGGAGGCAGGAGGGTGAGAGACTTTGCCCATTGTGGGACCCAGGTACAGATCACTGTTCTGGAGGGTAGGACCAGCGTCAGGCTCATCCTAGTCCCTCAGGGACCCGCCTCCCCCATGGTTAACTAACTCACAGGAAAATCCTGGCCTAGTGTTCCTCCTGGAGCCTTCAACCCTAGAGATGCCTGTTGTAGTGTTGAGCTCTAAGATATGGGACAGAGGTCAGGCAGGATGGAGGAGCTGATGGCAGGGATACACAGGATGGGGAGGCAGCCTCCACTGGACGGAAGGGCTACCTTGGCTGAGAATAGGGCTGTGGGCTGAGGGGCAGCCTCCCCAGAGGCTGCAGGGTGGCCCCCTGGTCTAGCCTTTTATCCCATAAACTCTCAGAGCTTTGCTTACTTTCACCCTCATCTTGGGGCCTAGAGGCAGGGGTGGGACCTGTGCACGTGCAAACATACACTTCTAATTGTGTGCTCTGGTGGGGAAGGAAGGAACCCCTTAGATGGCCCGGGGCATCCACGTGCATCCTCCCCCGCCCCCCCCTCCCCTCAGGCGCTCCACGTGGGCACCCGGATCGGGGGAGCGTTCTCATCCCAAATCGGCACCAATCCTGGTTATTTCTCCCTGGTGCCGCCTCCGCTGCCTCCTCCGGATTCTAGCCGAGCAGGCGGCTTCTCTTCCACCTCCCGGGCCCCTCCCTGCTGAGCAGGACTCGCGGGGCCTTGGATTTGCCCAGGAGCCTCGACATCATCACCTCACCCCAACTCCCCACCGCAAACCGCTGTAGGAGTGGAATTGCCCAGGCCAGGCTTGTGAGGTGGAGTCGGGAGCTGGGGCGGTCGCTGTCCATGGTGCTGGAGCAGATCGCGCCTGCGGCTACACAAGGAGGCAGCTGGGTGAGATCTGGTCCTGGGGACCTGGGACAGCTCTGGGGACACAGAACTTCTCCGTTCTCATCACAGCTTTCTGGGAAGGAGCTGCCCCAAGGATAGGGGTAGCTATGGACCTCATCCTATTCTTCACAATTCCCTCTTCTTGTACTTCACTCTGTCATCAGGGGCAGCCCCCATGCCAATTCCTAATCCATACTGTCTACCATAATGTGCAAACCATAGCTTCTTGGAGTCTGCAGTCCTCCACCTGAAAATGAGGGGTAACAATAATAGCTATCCCTCACCATCAACACACACAACTTTTCTATGCATAGATATACTAACCCCATAGCCAATGTTGTTATAGTTATCCAATTCCTATCAGCCAGTGACAGGCCATGATTTCCTGGCCAACGTGTCAAGGCTGCTTCCTCCTGCACACCTTTTGGGAAGGGGTAGGGTGTCTCAGAGCACTAGGTTGGAGCTTGGTTTGGGGTTCCTGGCTGCTGGAGTGGAAGGCCTTTGGTAGCTAAGTTGTCAGACACTCGGGTCATTTTCTGGTCTTACCCCTGGCCCCTCCCTAGACTTGGGATGCTGGATGAGTGGGCTAGAAGTCAGTGCTTGTCACAGGTTGCTTGGGTGAGGCAGTGCCCTGACCCAGTCAGACTGGTAGGGAAGGTATCTGTGGGAACCTGGGTGTGGGCCTTGTGACTCCAAGCTGGGGTCCTTCTTTGATTGCTGCAGACTTTGCCTGCCCCTCCCCTATGTGTGTGGGACAGGAACCTTGCTCCTGGAGTTACCTTCAAAGTAGGAACAGTGGAATCACCTTGCCCTTGAGGTTGTCTGTGGGACTCAGAAATAGCCTTGATTCATGTGCTGAGCCAGGCACTGTGTTCAACTCTTCCATGCAGCACCTTGCATGGGGGGCTGTAGCTTCCCTGATACAAAGCAGGGATCTGAGGCTCAGAAAAGATATGGGGCTTGCTAAGGTGCATTTTGAGCCTGGGGTTTCTGACCCAGAGGCTGTGCAGATGAAGATGGAGCAGAGCTGCCTCCTCCTCCTCTCCTCCTCCTCGGGTATTGGGGGAGGTGAATAAGGAGGATCTCGGGCATCAGAGGAGATGGTGGCACTGTGAGAGCCCCACTACCTTTTCTTTCCAGGGCTGTACAATCCCAGAGTCCTCTGTCATCCACTTGCAGTCTCAAGGGGAAAAGAGGAGTTAGGAATTACAACTGCTCCCCAATCACTCCTTCTAAGGTGGGGAGACTGATTACCTTTATGATAGGAAGCCCTCCCACCTACCTACACACAGCTAGCCCTGGTCCAAACCTCAGCCCTTACTGGTCATGACCTTAGTCAATCTGCCTTAATCTCAGTTTCTCACCTATACAGTGGGGATAGTGTCCACATTAGGCTGAGCAGAGACTTGAGGAGAAAGTCCAGAGGTCACCAATGAATCTTCTATTTGTGCTGACAGTCTCTGAGGATGGTGTGTATCTCAGACAGGGCACCACGGGGCCCTACTGGGACCCCAGAGAGAAGAGCCATAGGGAAGGGCCATGACCCACTGAGCCATTGCCAACTCATGGTGGCCATCCATCATGTTTCCAAGGCTGTAAATCTTCTTTTTAAGGCTATAAATCTTTATAGGCACTGTCTATCTTTCTCCCATGGGACAGCTGGTGGTTTTGAAACACCAACCTTTCAGCGAGCAGTTCAATGTAGTACACTCTATATACTACGAAAATGTTGTTATGTATCGTCATGTCAGAACTGACTCATAGCTGGCCCTCCAGTGGGTTTTCAAAGGCGGTTAACTGGATGGGAGGAGATTGCTCATCTTTCTTCTGCAGGCAGCTGGTGGATTCTAACTTTGGGTTGGAAGCACACGTCCTTACAACTTAGCTGCCAGAGAGGAGAACCGTAAAGAGGCTTTATTCACTGTTCAGCTTTCACACACATGTTGTTGTTGTGTACCATTGAGTCAGGACTGACCCATAGCGGACCCTCCAGCAGGTTTTTAGAGGCAGTAAATCACATGGGAGAAGAACTGCCCATCCTTCTTCTACAGAAAAATTGGTATTCGAACTACCTACCTTTGCATTGGCAGTGCAAGTCTTTACCACTTAGCCACGCCCCTTCACATACATATTGTTGTTGTTGTTGTGTATCATCGAGTCAGAACTGACCCATAGCTGACCCTCCGGCGGGTTTTCAGAGGCTTGAGGCCATTGAAAAGACTGTGGCTTGGGTTAGGTGAACCTTAGTCATCAAAGTGACATTCGTACTCTTCAAAACTTTAACGACGTCTTTTGCAGATTTGTTCAATGCCACAGGTTATTTGATATCTTGATTGCTGACCCTTGCCCAGCATGGCGGAAGGCACGCAATTATAGGCGACTGGTGGACACAAGGTCAGGCGGACATCAGTGTGGTAGAGAGAAATATAGCAGCACCTCTTTTTTCTCATCCTGTGAGAAGGAGGCACTTAGTGGACGCCCAATAACCAGCTCTCCTGTTGGCCGGCACTGGAATCCTCAGGCTCACTCTCCTCTCACCCCCTTTCAGAGCGAGCGTGGAAGATGTCGAGCCCGGGCGTCGAGGGCGACCCCAAGCCTCCATGCCTGCCTCGCAATGGCCTGGTGAAGCTGCCAGGCCAGCCCAATGGCCTGGGCGCGGCCAGCATCACCAAGGGCACACCGGCTGTCAAGAACCGCCTGTG